ATGGTGCAAACTTTGAGCATCTGTTGTAACATTCAAGCTGTTGAAACATCATTTGTATTCATGCCCAATAAATTTTAAAATTAATCACTCTCTTGTTTCCTTTCCCATTTTCTACATCTGCTACCACTTACCCCTGACATTTCCGGGTATAGGTTCCTATGCAATTCTTAATCCGTATGATGTGCACTACCTCCCTTAGAAGTATGTTGCAACGTTTACGGTACACCCTGTATGTAAATCCCACACATATCCTACATTGCACTTTCAAGAGATGCCAAATTCAAGTTAAATTTTGTCAGTCAGCCCAGTAGAATGGAAAGTAAGAACTGATACCTACCTTTTGTGTGTGTGTGTGTATTTGAGTGTGTGCACAGTGTTCATGCTGTTATGTATATAACTTAGTAATGTACCACATATTGATGTGAAAAAATTAAATACAAATAATAATTGATTAAACATTAGATGAATTTTCACATAAAGTTCTACAAATGTCTACAATAGATTAAGAAAAGGCAGTTTAATAAAAATTAATAAGAAAAATTATGCCGAAAATCATTATAGTTGGGAGAATAAAATTTGCATAATTTAAGTTTCATTGATTGAATAAATTTCATTTATTGTTGAAAAATAATTTTTTTAGTACTGTTTTCTTTATGACTAGTGGAGACATAGATATAACAGAAATAATTTTTTTTAGTACCAATTTCTTTATGACTAGTGGAGACATAGATATAACAAGGGATTACAATTTACTACTAAACTCCTTAACTAAAGTACGAGAAACTTGCTTGTCTGATTTTCAAATGAAGTTCCAAAGAAAAATCTTTAATGCTGTGATCCTTGATGGCTAGTGAAGACAGATATATCACAAAGAATTACTATATATTACTAACGCTTAAGTTAACAAATAGAATGTTTAGGTTATGTTATTTGAATACGGCTAAACATATGAGAGTTATTTATATGGCTAAACATATGAGAGTTATTTATATAAGGGGAAAGATGCCTACATAGAGAAGGGAATACTGGCTCATACTCACATCACACAAGGGAAGAGCACAAAAGGCAAACAGTCAGCCCACTCTCATCAGTCAATTCAGCATCTCAACATTCAGCTATTTTCGGGGCCAATACAACAATGAAATATTAAAAAAATATATTGTGAAATACATTAAAACTAACCACATGAAATTCATTGGTTGCATTTGCTGAATGAATTCTTTAGCATTTACAATTTTTAACTGTAAACCAAAAGGGAAATAAGACAGTGTAAGGCTCAGGCTTCTATGATCAAACTGTACAGATGATGATTTTCACTAACAACTGAAAAACACTGACCAAATGAAGAGCAGCATAAAAGAAGGTTCTGAGGAAGGCCATGGCTGACTCTAGACTCCTATGCCAACAGAAGGACTACTGCCCTAAACCATGAAAATTTTATGATGGTTCATTAGTGAATAAAATATGGTAAGTAAAACAATCATATCTATTTTATTTACTTTGATGCTATAAAGCAATCAAATTCCCCCTTAATCAAAGCCTAAATCTTCATATTGTAAATTAAATTCCAGTATGCTTTATTTAAATAATACAGCATGTAATATACCTTAATGTACATTTTCTGTGAAAGTAAAATTATATAGAGAGAACTACAAAAACGTTCTACAGAAGCAAAGAAATATAATCCTCTTTTTCTTTTCATACCTGTATAAAATAGTCATTAAGTCAGTTTTTACAATTTGTATAAACTTTCATTTCATCCTTGAGTAAATTTTAGATGAATGAAAAGGTTAATCAAATGTTGTATAAAAATAATGAAAAGATAGCTTAATAATAATAAATATTATTATATTAAATCTAATTTATACCAAGATAATATACATACAATCAAAAAATCATTTTTTTCTAAGCGAGCCATGTAAATAATACACATAGTATCTTAAATTTTTCCTTTCATCCCCCTTAAAGTATTTCATAAAATGTTTTGGAAGTCCTATCATTCTCTCATAGAGTTTTTAGATGTACTTGTATGAAATTCTAAACATTTAATCAATTAATATAAGTTTATAATACATAATATAAATTATCAATGAATTTGGAAGATAAAATTTCAAGATAACATTTTATTAAACATGGGGGGGAAGCGAAATACAGATAAAAATATGGTACCTCACATCAGACATTAACTCTTCATTGTAGTATGAGTGTATACCCCTCTTATTGGTTTAAATAATTCTTCCTGTTTAATATAACACAGTTTATGAAGTTTTTGAAAAAACAAAAATCAGTTGCTAGATGTGTAAGTACTACACCCACCATAAAAAACAAAAAAACAAACAAAAAAAAAAATAGATAACAATTTATATTTGAAAAACATTCTTAAAATTCACAGCATTTTACATATATTTCTTTTAAATGCTCATGGCAAGTTTATTTGCAATATTTTTTGGTAAATCTGTCTTTTTTACTAGTTTCATCAGCTGAAGTCTAGCCTTATTGATTCCAAACAAAACATTTGCTTGCCTTTTAAATTTCACTGGAATGCAGGTGTTGGCAAATGAATTTGCATTTCAATAAATTCTCAACTAAAACTTTTCATGAAAACTTCCTATTTTATTTTATTTAATGTGCATACATTTCTTTCTGAACACTAATGTTTTGTGGTTTATGTACAAATATCAGTTAATAAGTTATCAAATAACTCTCTTTACACATACTATTTGTCACCTTTTTAGAAACATGAACATCTTTGGCAAAAATAATATTTATTCAAAAATGCTCTGAAAATGAACTGAAGTATTTGGACATTTTGAATAAACAGTTTATTTTTAATAAAAAAAAATAAAATAATGAAACATAAACATCCATCAGATACTATCAGATTTTTCATGCCCTTTGGCATGGATTTCACAATGTTAAGTAAAAAATTTTACCATACCTCCGTTAAGAATTGCTTTTAAGAGCTTTTGAAGAAATGTTTTGGTTCCTTATTCTTTTCTCTACTTACTGCACACATGTTCGATAGGATTTAAGCCCTAAGAATATAGTAGAGTTTTGATAACTTTAAGACAGTTGCATAATAATCACAAACGAACATTTAGGGCTGTGTATTTAGGATTGTTACCCTGAAAGAACTTGAATGTATTTTGCATTTCAAGTTTTCTTCCAAGTACTTTTAGATTTAAAAATATTTACTGTATTTATACCAATCCATATTATTTTCTAATAATATGGATTAAATTAAAGAGTAATTTCTTATCCCAGAGGTAATAAGGCATGAGGTTTTTTTGGATTCAATACATTTGGCTTCCATCTCACAGCAGTTTCTCCACCAGACCCAAATATATTTTTGTTTTCTTGTCAACAAAGAATTTCATTCTTAACTACCCATTATATTTTTGCACCCTAATGACGTTTTTAACAGTTCCAGGGTTTACTTTTATTGCAAGCCATTCTTTAAAATCCGCTACAAGTTTTTTTTTTTTTTTTTAAGCTTTGTTTGATTTTTCATACACTAAATCTCTAATTCCTTCATTTTAGTTTTGAATGTGATCCAGACTTCAGTGCATTTTAAACACATCCATGCAATTTCCATCATTTTAATATGTCAACTATAGTTGAATGCTTTGCATTAAGGATTTTTTGAATATTTTGAATAATTTTATCATTTTTAAATCATAAATAGTTAAATTTCGAGTAGAACCTGTCATTATTTTGGAGCATCTTGTCATATTCATTTCAGATATGAAACTGTTAATATATACTACTAAAAAAATTAATAATTTTTAAATACAAATGATAATGCTCACGATGTGTTTTTATTTAAAACAAAAGAATATGGCAAGAAACATTGCCTTCCAAAACATCTCAACAAAATTTTCAAGTGTCTTAATTTCTGTAAGTTACTGATATTGCAAAGTATATTTTGATGATATTTATTTTGTGACAAGTAAGTCTTAAAATAAAGAAGAAATAAAATATTAGTAAAAATCTATGTAAACAAATTAAAAAAATACAAGGGTCTGAAAAAAAAAAAAACATGAGCCATGGCATTTTTTTCCCCCTCCATATTGTTGTGTTTAAAAATTACCAAAACATGTATAGTAGAAATGTTTAACACTGTCCAGTGGCAAGTATTTCTTGTGATACTGTTTTTAGCTCAAAGGGTGTTAGCCCAGAAGTGCTATTAATTTTGTTTTGGCATTTTAGGTTGAAAATTTTAAATGTACATTTCACTTTTCAAACTGTTGCCACCAATATTATCGCCGTGTGTTATATTTAAAGAATTAAATAATGAAGAATCTGCATAAATGTGTGTATGTTTCTTGCATTGCGATAAAACAACAATTTTGAATAACATAATTCTACACCGAATAGGGGCATCTGGAAGCCCTACCCTAATTTAGAAATTGTTTTAGTATTGATTTCATATTTTTTAATGCTTTAACAAATTTTTGATTAACAAAATCAACAATTTCAAAGCGAGCAATGGCAACACTACACGAGAAAAAAAAAAAAAAGAAAAAAAAAAAAAACCTCCAGCGCTCGAGACCGTGTATCGGAAATTCTAAAGATATGCTCACTTTAAAATTATTTTGTGATATTGCTGTTGAACTGAATTTTATGGTTTCAGTGTGAAGAACATGATAATTAATACATAAAAGTGACACATAAAACATTAAAAAAGCCTTCTTGAGCGTAATGCAAAATCTGAAAGCTTTCATTTTTTTTTTTTTTTTTTTTTTTTTTTTTCAAAATAGCTTTTTCCCAAAACTCTTTGCATTTTGTCTCATATCCGTATATGTTCTACTCTTGAATGACTGTGAGATTTTTTTCTAAATATTTCAACAAAATATAATTCTAAAACATTCTCTTAACAGTGAGTAAAATTAAAAATACAAAGTTCTGAAAATTATTCCCCTTCCATACTAAATAAAGGGTTAACTGTTTTAATTATCAAAAGCATGTCTCACAAAAATAATTCTCAGTATAACAAAGGATTTTTGCATATATTGTAATTTTATTATACAGCAAAATACAATTCATATATATATATTTAAACACTTAAAAATTAATATGCTGATGTTGAAGATAGTTAAATCAGCATTTATTTTTGATAGGTTAATTTTTTTTTAAAAGTATTTAAGGTAAAGTTCTTTATGCTTGCACGCAATATGTTTAGTTAAATGTACCTTTTGTGAAAACCTTGAATTGCAATGATAACAGCTGAACGGACGCTCTCCGGTATGAGTGCGCAGGTGTCTTTTAATGTTACGTCTATCTGCAACATAATGGCAGAATTCACAAGACACAATATGTTTGGTCATTTTCTTATGACATGATTCCAATACAGAAGATAGGACAGATCCAGAGTTGAAATATCCTAAAAAAGTATAAGAAATTTTTATAAACAATTTATAAATAAAATTATTTGGTATTAATGTTGATAAAATCTAAATACAGTAATATCTTTTTTTACCTTATTCCATTACTAACAGGGCTATTGTGCTATTTATGTATTATCATTAAGTCATTTGTTTCACATAAGTAAGTGTATGTTCTAAAGTCTAATGATTTAAAATTTTAACTATACACTAAATATTTTATATCTGGCCTATAAACTTTCTAATAAAAAAGAAAGCTTGAAAAATAATACAGATAAGATGACCAACTATGATTCCAGATGATTTTTGGCATTCTGTAGGTAATATCACTTTGGAGAACATGAATATAGATGATTATCAATATACTGTTTAATTATATACTAAGATACACTAAAGGTCCATTAGCAGCTTAGTGGATCTACTTCAGTGAATGGAATGACTGCATGAAAAATTTCATGGCTTTCACTCCATATATTGAACATGAGACAGTTTCCCTTAGAAAGTTCTTCATAAAGTTTTCTTTTTCTAAGGCAGATAGTTGTCATATGTTTTACCCTATTCAATTAAACAAGAACTCAGAAATAAAAATGACTTTCAGATTAATAGTATTTCTGCCATGAGAGGTTTCACTATATTTTGCACACTTGATATTCAATTTTTAGAGCACATGAATTAGTCCCTTTTATAAGTTTGATTTAAAAGTAATATTAATGCTATGAAGCTCGAATTCATGACAATATACCAGCATGATTAATTTCTTAAATTTATAATATGAGGGGGCTAAATTTACTCTATTTTCTCTAGAACAAAAAGATGAAAACTTTTAACTGTAGCATTAAAGATTAATATATATTTTTCAAAATTAATCAGATGTACTAAATCAACTTAGAATTTAACTTACTTCAATACAAATATAATTTTTAAAGAAATGTGTTTAGATAGATTCTATGAAGTACAAAATGTACTTGAATCATCAAAATCAGTTCATTAATTTTTGTAAGGCTTAATATGTTTTAGTGATTTAAATAATGCACTCTCCTCATTATATCCAAAATTTTATCACTATTTTTAAACACCTATACTTAAAATTTACCATATTATCTTAGATTCTATAATTTTTATTGAAGTAAAATTTTCACATTTCTTAGGCAGATGAATGTTATTTTACAAAAACATAGAATGACAGAATATGTAATCTTAATTTCCTTAACTAATGTCTGTCACTTCCTTTGAATTTCTCCATGAAAGTAGGCAATCCTAGTCTATGGCAATTTAATAATTATTATTAATGAATTCACAGCTTATTTGATAACAACAAAAGTGCTGAAATATACTTGTCCCTAATATTCTAACACTGAAAATATTGCACCAAAAAGGAAGCATCAGACTGAAATGAAGCTTAATACACATAATGCTACACATGAGAGTTTAACTTGATCCCGAAATCAAGACAAAGAAGCATAGTGTGTACAATTAGACAAATACAGTGCAACTCCAATAGCTCGTTGGACTGTCTCCTGCTGCAACACAGTTTGGTATTGAGTTGATTAGATATCTGATGTAGTCTTGAGGCAGATGGGCCAATAAACCTTCAACAGCTACCTCCGAATCCTGTACAAAATGACATGACAACATGTGGCATATCAGTTGATCCCACACATTAAAATATTAGGGACAAGTATGGGGACTGGGCCAACAATGGAGGAGTCTGAATATGACTTTGGAAGGATTCAGCAACTCGAGTTGTATGCGGACATGAATTATCTTGCTGGAAAATTGCCCCTGGAAGACCCTTTAGGAAAGGTCCTATGTGGGATCAAAAAATAATATGAACATAACACTGTCCTGTTAAGGTTCCACTTATCAAAATTAGAGTGATCATCATCAGCTACGGACACACAGACAATTACGTTTGCTGTGCAGGCAGTGTGTTTTGCAACAGCATGAATGGAATTGTATGGTTCATGAGGGCTTCTCCACATTCATATGCTGTGATCAACTTTTCCCCAAATAAGCCAGGATTCATCACTGAACTTTTGGCAATCTATGGCATTCTATGTCACTCTAGCTCGGGACCACTGTAGATCAAGTTGCACATGTTTCGGTTTTAAAAGGCAATTGGATTGCTGATTCACTTTTGCAAGATGCCTGGAAATGGTTTGTTGAACAACTGGCACCCCTATACCTAACTGTATCATGGAACGAGTAACTGTGGGATCCATGAGTGCATGCTGCACAATCCTTTGATCCTCTTCCCTCATCATCTTCCTTGTCCCGCCAGACTCAGTTCTCCACACATGGGTACCATCTTGTGTCCACCGCTCCTAACAATCAGCCTGGCGAGCAACATGCGCCAGGCCGATCGACATACACTTACTTATGTGATCGTTAGCAACTTGAACGCGTCGACCAGTCTGCAATTTTCATGTTGACGATCAATCCCCTCTCAAACTCGATTAACTGTACTAAATGTTTTCTCACACATGGATTGATTTCCAAATAAAGCCATAAGAAACAACAACATATTGTGTAACTGTGTGTCACTTTCCATGTATTTAGGCTGGCAAGTTTAAATAACATATGAAGAATGAAATGAATTTTTTTTTTTTCTTTTTTCATATCAGCCTTAAAGTCTGATTTAGATATATCCAAGTCAAGACATGTCCGTCAGCAAAAAAGTACTTAAACAAATCTTTATTAGCCCAAAGGAGCATTAGCTCAGAAGAGCTATTAACTTACTTTTGGAATTTTGCATTGGTTCACTATAAAAGTCTGAATCACTTTTCAAATTGTTGCCACCAAGTGTTAGAACCCTGCATTATATTTAAAAAATAAAATAATGAAGAATTTGCATGAATGTATGGATGTTTCTCGTATTCTGGGGGGGGGGGGGAAGTTCCCGGAGACATCAAATATTGAATAACATAGTTCTCCACTCAAATATGGGCATCTGGGATTTGTTTTATTATCTATTTCATATTTTGTAAAAATTTAATGAATTTTTTATTAACAAACTCAATGATTTCAAAGCATTCCATTAACATGGCATACATCAGCAAGCATGGATATTTTATGCCTGAGGCTTCTTTTTTTGTGACATTGCTATTGTATTGAATTTTATGGTTTGAGCATGAGAATATGTGTGTTACCTTTATTTAATAAATAAAGGTAAAACACAAAACATTAAAAAACAGCCTCTTTGGGCGTAATATAAAATCTGGCTTTCAGGTTTTCTTTATTTATTAATTTTGTTTTCCTTTGAACTCCTGAAAACACTTTTATGAATTTTTGTATGCCTTAGGCATTGTGCCTGAAGTGCTACATAAATAAGATATATCTAGCTATATCAGTATTAAATAGTTTTCTATGTTAAATACTCAAATATTTTTTGTTATTCACAAGTCTTAAATAAAATATTATCAGCAATAAATTTGAAGTTTTTCTTTAAAAAATACACCCATTAACAATATAAACCATTCTAATCATATTTTTAATTGCTGTTAAAGTATAAACCAGAGATTATACAAGAGGTGGAATTCAACTGGTTCAGCAGAACTGTTGGCAAAAATATTTTTGTTTAGCAAATTAGTGGTTAAAATTGAGTTTTAATATTGTTTTCACTATTTATTGCTATTTATCAGCTAATTTTAAGACTTGTTTAAGTCACACACCAGTTCCTAAAATTTCAGAATCCCACCAATTAAATATATTCCTATTATTTATACCACATAAATATGTTACTGGTGAAATGACGAAAAGAAAGAATTTTTCTAGTACACATAAGCAGCTGATATGAAAAGGGGAAAAAAAAAAAAAAAAAAGATTCAAATTATGATATACTCTGATTCTTCTAGAAGTTTTACCTAAAAAATAAAACAATGTCTAAAATTTCATATAAAAAGTACATAAAAATTGCTCTAATGTTTAAATTCAAAATTCTGAATTAAAAAATGAGAAATTCCTGAAATTGTAACACTGAAATAAAATTTAAATAATTTACACAAATAGCAAATATAATTTCTAGAAATGCATTATCTGCATGAAACAGGGCTGGTCAAACTTTTCAATTTCCTTCCATGGGTGACAATGTGGTCTATGGTACACATAGATCAACAGATCTTCATTGATTCATAAGTATGTCACAATTGGCCTGTTAGACAGCCAAGATATAGATGTACATTTAAAGTATTAAAAATGCTGTATGAAAAAATATTCCATGCCTTATATACACATTCTTTAGTTATTTGTAGTACATCACAAATTTTAATATTACATGCAATTTACTTACATTATTGAGAATTTACCCTATTTAGATCTATGTTCTGGTACACCTATTTCATTGAAATTTCGCATATACATTATATGGACCATGGGGAAAAGACCATAGTAATAAAAATTAATAGTTCAAATTTTGGCCAACAGATGGCATTTTTCATGCAATGCAGAAAGGATATTATAAAAATTTAGAGCATTTTCAAAATCAGTAAACAATACTGTAAAATCATTCTTTACCACGATAAGAAAGATCAAGCTTTACTGATCAAGCTATTTTATCAAAACGACAGTTATTTTTTAACTGCATTTCGAAAATATTGATGACTATTGATGAAAAGGGCTTATGTCAAGGCAGGGTTTGAAAAAGACAATTACTAAATCTGAAGAGACTGGGAAGTTGTGTGTGCTGCAAGAAAAAAGATGAAGACAGATTTCAAATGAAATTGTAGAAGAAGTCACTCTTGTCATGGTCAAAAGAATGCCCAATTCCCAGTATTCTTCGATGAATAAGAATGGGTAATTTTGAGAAGATTTCAAATTGCCTGGCCTTCTCATTCTCAAGACTTGAATTGCTGATTTTGGGCTGTGGGGATTCTTCAACGATCGTGTCCATGGAAGAAGTATATGGACTATGCCTGTAATGAAAGCAAACATAGCATGTCATGTTGCTGCAACTGATCAAGAAATGTTTTGCACTACTGTGAATACACCATAACACAATAATGTGTTCTAGTGTGTTTCATGTGTGATTGATGAAAATGGTATGCACATTCAATAAATGCTGTTAAATAAAGTTTGGTGTTTTTTGTTCTTCATACGCTCCCTTCTCAAGTGGTAGTAAAAATTTGAGCTATTATTTTTTATTGTACCTTTATTTTATCCATGGCCCAAATAATGTATATGCCAAATTTTAATGAAATAGGTCTATCAGAATGGGCTCTACATAGATCTAAATTAGAGCAAATTTAACTATAAACACATACTATATTAAGAAGGCACTACTCTCTATTTAACAATAAAAAACAAATGCTTCTTTTTTTTTTTTTTTTTGTTTTGTTTTGTTTTCTCCTTAAGGACTACAAAACTGAAGGTTTTCAAAATTTCAAAACAGTACACTAAATCTGATATATGGATATTTGATTATTTATTTTGCAATTAAATTTATATTTGAAAATATTTACAATTAAAAAAGAATTTACAAAAGTAATAAATTTTGTCCATGCTTAGTAATGATATGCCTCTTCACATGCTCTTTTTGTGAAAACTTTGCACTGCAGTAATGACAGTGGAATGGACGCTCTCCTGTATGAATGCGAATGTGTCGTCTAAGATTACCTCGATTATTTGTAGCATAAGAACACATTTTACAGTCAAATATATGGTTATCCATTTCCTGAGAAAATTCTTTTCCTGGGGATAAGGAATGGAAAGAGTTGAAAAACCTGCCTAAAAATGCATGAAAAAGTTATAAGTGATAAATGCATGTTTTGCCAACTAAAATGAATATATTAATTTATATACACTTACAGATTACATATGTTTTAAATACAGAGATTTTTAATTTAATAGTTTACAGTGGTAAAGAATTATTACATAAGTTATTAAATAATAACTTCAAATTTGAAATATTTCTTTAGAGGACAATATTTTCATTTTTTAAGTGGAATATGCAAAACAAAATGAAAAATGTTAGTTTAAATTTATTCTTATAATTTAATTAGCTTTTAAAAATATTTATTCTTTAAATATCATTCATGAAATAAAACAACTGCTTATGACTTCTTACACCCACTTCTTAACTAGTTATTGCATGCTATAGTTTTGTACAGACCTCTTTAAATAACTAGACTAAATGAACACAAAGACTTGAATCTTTATTTAGATAAATAATAGTTTCTGAAGCAAAATAAACAATTATAAATAGTCCAAACATAAAAAGAGCAAAATTTTCCTTAACACATGAAAAGAATATTACATCACCAAAATCTCCTGCAGAGCAAAGTCTAAAGAAGTAAATACCAGGTGAAATGTTAACTGGCAAAACTGCTGCAATCTTTCAACTAACTAACTGAGGCTTCAATCAGTCAATATTCATAGTGTTTAAGGACAGTTTTCTTGAAACCTCCTAGGACTTTGAAAACCAGTTTTCCAGAAATTATCCCGCCGCAGTGAAAAATCTGTAGTATAGTAAAACCATTGCAAAAATATTTCAGTGTAAGTGCCTACATCTTTTTTCAGAATGTTTGTTAAATAACATAAGATATATATTATGAGAAGATACTTATATTCAATTACTGAATGAATAATTTTTTGGGAAAAGAACAGAATTGCAGAAAATTCCTAAAATATATAACAAGGATTATGATGTACTTACATACTAAATATCACTTTTAAAAGTAATGATCATCATATAAATTCTAAAAAATACAGTCAAAAGTCGTTAATTCAGACACCCATAATCTGGACCTCAAAGCTACAAACTTTCTGAGCATGCGTCGATGCATAGGCGTTTACGCGTGCGCGTAAGACCTTTACGGCTGCGAATATGCGTGTGCACACACGCATAATACGTTTACGCATGTGCGTTTAATGTATAACGGACGGCATAAGCTAAGCTAAAATTATCTAATTCAGTTAATGTTGCAGATTGCGTTGTTTCTTAATCTTCGAATTGGATCCGCCTTATTATTTTTTGCAGACTGTTAGAGCAATTTTATAAAAGTAAGCTTGAACTTTCGATTATGTCAAATAGAATTTCCGATATATATTTACTAAGATGTAAAGGATCTACAAAGCGAAAGTATGTTTCAAAATCCGAAATCTGTTTATCAATTTCACACTGCTCTGGTGGGGGGGGGCGTGTGCAATGAATTGGAAGTTGATTTGTCAGCACTATCCTTATCTTCAGGGCAGATGTTTTTATTTTATTTGGCTTGTAATTCCTTACTAAATGTAGTATTTCCTCTCGATGTACTCCATCTTTGATATGATTTAAATCAAGTTCATCATCATTATAATTCGCTTCCGATAGTGAAGAAAGTGACACAGAGGTTATTGAAAACGAAAAAATTTCAACTGACAAATTAGTTGGTATTCTCGACACAGCAATTATATGACTTGAACAGCGGAACTTTGAAACTAAACAAGAAATTATGTCTGTTTAATAGAATTAAAGAGAAAGTTTTATCACATGAAACGAAACAACTTACATTGAAAGAAATGTTTAATAAAGTAAACAAATAAATATTAAGCTTTTTCTTTTTGTAAATTTTGATACCCTTTAGAGCATAATTGTTCTTTATTTCATAAATTACGGTTTCATATTTTTTAATTTTGTAATTTCTGCATGCCATCTTACCAGATTTAAACTGATGATCTATAATCCGGAATCGCTGAAGTCCTGACGAGTCCGGATTAATGACTTTTGACTGTAATAGTTTATTAAGAGAACTCTTAAAGTGAAACTTCAACACAGGATGGAAAAATCTTGCGATTTCTATACATAATTTTAAAACAGAACTGCATCTCAACAGGAATTATTCTTCTCGAACATCAGATGAGATACTGAACACTATTCTCTTTGCATAATTTTTCTTATAAAAGCTTACCATATCTCCGAGAAAAAACACTTCATTTCTTATCAAAAATAATTTCTGACACATTCTTTAAGAATGTGTTTAAATCCAAAATGCTTAGGTCCAAAGTTTTGCATGTTTAACCTTTAAGCATTAACCTTTAGTATTTGTTACACAATGAGAAACATATCATATAAGAGACTACATTTTTCAAATAAAAGAAAATATAATAAAAGCCTAAAATAAACTCAGAGAATTTTTAATAAAATCAAATAAATTAAACATCTGCTAAACTTCAAAGAAAATAAACTTATTTATACAGGTAAAAAAAAAGAAAAGAAAAAAGAAAGAAAGAAAAAAACTAAGACGACAACCAAACTTTACATTTTTCAGAGCATTTATTGTACACCAGTCTAGTGCACTATCAACAGACTAGCTTTTACCTATTATTACTTATTTTGTCATTTGGCATCGCTCAATGTAAATAGCATATATTGTTTTTTATGAGCTTTTACAATTAAATGAAGATAATTTTTACTCAACTAAATGGAAACATGGCATTTCAAGAGGTTACGTATGGAGACAATTAACAAACTTAAAAGATGTAGTGTCTTACAGAACATGCTTTTTTTATTAAAAAAAATGATAGGAACTTCACAGAAACTTTATCAAACATTTTGCTCAAAAAAGATCAAGGATTTGATATTGTGATATGACTATGGTGAATTAACAGGAGTTTTTTTTGGGGGAGGGGTGTTTAGTTTATCACATGCCACATTAGTGGTTAAGGGTATCACGTTATTTAACACAATACTGGTTAATACATGCCGCATTATTGCTTAAGGGTAACACATTTTTATCATGGAGCAATACTAAGATATTGGATCAAATGAAGAACAATTTGTGATATTAAGGTTTGCTGGTATGAGACACATAATTTGTTTTTAATTAAATTTCATTTCTGTTTCAAAAGTATAGAAAATAATTTTACATATAATAAATACCATCAGTTTAAAAAATTCTGCAGTAAAAGAATAAAAGTACACTATTCCATAAAACTGCACACAGAATACAAAAAATTAGCTTGCAATAAATATCACAGAATAATCTAAAATTTCAAAAGATAAAATATCTAGATTAGGAAATAAAATGAAACTGTGACATAAATAAAATTTAAGTTGGGTGAATGAAAAGTTATAATAAATATTATTTCTACAGCATAGCATAAGGTAATAAGCACATAAATGAGTTACTTACCACTGATAAAACCTACTCATGACTTATTTTCAACATTTTTATATTTTCTGGAGTAACAGGAAAATATTTTCTTTTAAAGTAGGCAATAAAAATTTCCATAATTTTTATGATTAAAATATATATGAAAACTACATTCAGTGCCCCAACTAAAATAGTTTTAGAGAGTGAAAAACAGTTTCCGCATTTAATTGTTTTTTGAGTATTTTTTTCACTTTGCTTTACTGTCATATTCTGGAACACACTGAAAAAAAATTCATTGCTTAGCTTTATTAGTGCCAATTTTGCATTTTCACACATCATTTTGCAATGTTAAAAGTGACATGCATACTTCTAAAACTTGATAATGGTAGAACAATCCAATCTAAAACTTTACAGCTGAGACAGATACATAAAATACAATACAATCCCAACTATCCAGCATTCAACTAATTGTAAAGCTAAATTAAGCAGAACTTTTCAAAATTTTTTCCTACAAAATTAAGAAAATGATGGAATTTGTAAAGCCATCATAAAGCACACATAGGACTATGACTTAAAACAAACAAAAATCACCAAACAAAGTGATTTAATGTCAATAAGGGATAAGCATGATGTTATAATACAATAATCACAAAACCTTTCTTTGATATAAATCCTATTTATTTTTAATAAGTTGATTTGTAAAAAAGACACAAGTTAACTGCTAGTTATCAGTTTTCATTTTTGTTTTAAGAAATGATTATTTTTTTTTTTAAATGATTTTTCTCTCCTCTAAATAGGATAGCATGCAGTGAAGTATTTACAAAATTACAGAATCTTGGCATCTCACAAAGTATGCATTAGCAGGCATAATATGCGGCTTTATTTGAAAACAGATAAACAATATGAAAAATGATGACGAGGGATTTAAGTTTTTTATATGCTATATTTGTAACTTGTATCTTTTAAATATATAACTAAATAAACCACCCTCAGTTTTTTTAAACTTCTGCTAGAATTACTGGTGCAAATATGATGGGATCTTTATCAACTTTCATGTGCTGGGAGATTTCATAATTAATATATTTCACAAGTTAAAAGCCTATCAAAATGTGTTAGCTTTTATATCTAAAATGATTTCCCCCCTCCAAAATCCTACATAATGTTAAAAGTAGGCTTTTAGTATTCAAGCTAATAACAAATAAGATAGCTGTCTAAAATTTTAAACCAAACATTTCTTCTTACATTCATTTAGCTTTTTTACTTTATATGCTCAACTATTTAAAATTTTTCCAGACTGTCGAGCTTTTACTGTAAATAAAAAAAAGTAGATCATTTTCAATAAAAGAACCCATTTTATAGGAATTCAAGAGAAACTTCACATAAAATTATAGTAATAAAAACCTAATTTTTGACATATTATTTTTTTTTCATTCTGGATTAATGTTTAAGATTAATTACTATAGTTTCTTTTATGTATATGTGTATTAATTTGCATTCAAGAATTCAAATAGACTTAAGACAAATCAACACAGTTATTTCAGGTTTTTAACACTTAATAAAAGAATAAATTATTTAAACTTCTACTTTGAAAATGATTTCAGAGGAAAATTACATTTGATTTAAGTATTCAAGTGGATTACTGGTCTGTTCAGAAGTTATTAAAAATATTCTGTTTTTTTCTATAATCCTTAATCTTATTTGAGCAGAAGTGAGAACAATGCTGTTCTAAAGGATGTAATGCTGTTAAGAAAATCTTCTAACTGTCACACATGTAACTGAAAATAGAAGAAATTTTTTGTAGTCACAAAAAAATCAAAGACATAACAAGACTATAATGAACTGTAAAATACGAAACAATTGCACAAATTTTTTATTTACAAATATATACATATAGAATTAAATTAAAATATTCTTTACATTTGCATATATCATGGACATGAATGACAGTTTTCTACAGACAACAGATCAGAACATAATAACACTGTAATTACCTTCAAAAATGAATATACAAAATAATATGAAGCATTTAGCTTCAGCTTTAGTTAATTCATGAACGATTCATAGATTGGAAACAGAAAGTAATTAATTTGAATTATCATGTAAATTCTGACCAGTCATTACTATCACATATTTCAAAGCAATTTTTGTATTGAACATCTTTTTTCTTTACACGGTCTTGTAAAAATTAAGCACACTGCCATAAATTTGAATAACACAAATGCTTAAGGCTTGATTAATCTAGATTTCACATAAAAATAGTCAGTTAGGTTAATCGAGTATTATCACACAACTGAAGAAAATATGTTTATATCTCTATCTGCTTACTTCATGTTTAGTATGCTTGAAAAAAATTAATCTTGTAAGCTTTACAAACAAGGCTTAATACAGGATGTGACATTTCCTTACTTATATGATTGCTTTGTACTTTTAATGAAGTAATCCAAAGCAGCAATGGGCGATAACAGTCACTCCTATGGAAAGGCATTTTGCAGCTTTATAAAGTGATTAGAATTAATCTGACTTGAATTCTTGTGAATGTCTAATGGGAAATTGTCCCACTTATGAATTTAAACAAAAAACTGGAATGTGATTAAATATTTATGAACTACTGTAAATTTCATCAACGAAATTCTCATAGACACTCGCATAACCAGAATTTACATTACAGGCTTAAGCTTTTGTAAAGCAGTGTATACATATTTCATCAACAGATAACATTAATGCCTTAAAAACTAATATGTAAAGCAAAATAAGAGTTTACAATTAAAATTCAACCCTCCCCCCCCCCAAAAAAAGAAATGGCTCATGACAATGAAAAATAAATGAGACTACTGCTAATAATTAAAAAAAAAAAAAAAAGAGAGAGAGAGAATTCAACTGCAGAGCAGTAGACTGTTTTCAGAATATACTAAGTTACAGAAAAGACTAGTAATAGCTCATGATTAATTAAGATAAGATTGGCACTCCATGAAAATAAAAAACAAGCAATCCATTACCGTGACATTATAGTGTTGTTCAGAAAGTAATTTAATTTTTTTTCCTGTGGAACAAATGAAACCCATCAAGCTCTGATATAAAACCAAGTCGTCTCACATTATCATAAATGGTTGAATTATACAAATGTAATCTTTTAGCAACTTTAAATACTGTTATTTGGTAGTGTCACTTCCATCACTACTTTTATTTTGTCTTCACCAGCTTCAACTGGCATTTCAGAATGTGGAACTTCTTCAGTATCAAACTTTTATGAACCTGTTTTGACACTGGCATTAGGTCAACACCCTTTCTCCATACACATGACACATTTTTTTTCTTGCTTCAAAAGCACTCTTATCTTTCAAATAATTAAAAAGCAAGCTGTATTAAAAATGTTGTTTTAACTTTTTGAATTTGATGAGATACATATACACACAATTAAAAAAATCTGATGTGTACACCACATGACTTTCTTGTACGGAATATTAAATTATGCGCATTTTTTCTTGCATTTTATTTAAACTTATTAGATTGAATTAAACCTACTTCGCCAACAGCGCATAAACGACAATAGAATAAATGCATTCTTTAAAATTCATTTTGTTTACCATAGCGATACTCTGGCGCTAGATTTACTTAACAGTATTATATTTCATTCATATTATAACTCAGAATGCACAAAATGTATATCATTTAAAGAATTATCTAATCGTTGCCACATGTTCTATTCAAATACACTATAAATCACTATATAATAAAGCTAGAACTATGTATAAAAGAAATTAAGCAAATAAAACAAAAAAGAAACAGTTTTTCACAGACGATTGAATATTTCTCATTTAATTAATTCAGTTCTTACTTCGCGAGAAGGCAAAAAGACATAAAAACTCAAAATATCTATATTAAAAATTACGAAGTAAAACTCAAACACTTATTTCCTCGAAAAAATTCCAGAAAGAATTAAGCATGATTTAATTGGCAATAATAAATGAATGCGTTATCTTTGTTGTTGCAAAGCTAAGTTCTCTAGATTGGCAAACAAATCCACTAGTCTCCTGTTTCAAATGTAAACTTCAATGGCCGCCATTAAAACAGGCTTAGCGGCAATTAATACAAGCTTTAAAATTGCTGATAATTCTAAAACATATTGCACACAGGATTTACTAAAGGCATAAAATCCTTAAACCGGAAAATAAAAACAATATAATTCAATCATTTTTAAAGAAAAAAATGTACAATTTACAAACATATAAGAGTAAGAAACTGAGATCACTGAGCCGGATAACAGAGTGGATATATATATAAATATATTTATATACGTTTGGTGCGGCCGATTGCAACCAAAATATGAGGTGCACATCTACATGTTATAGCAGTCCTATATACAAAATTTCAACATTCTGAGGCAACTCGTTTTTGAGTTACGCGAGATACGTTCGTACAGACGCCACGAAAAATTAATTCTCTTCAGAATTAATTTTAAAGCAGTTTTATAATTTTTTTGAAGGAAAAGAGTATTTTATTCTGTCCTTACATACAGATATCACGCAAAAACATCATTAAATTGCATTCGATAGCGGTCAAAATGGATATTTTTGTTGAAATATGCTGCCTGAAACGTTTCGCGATTACAATACTTCCTTTTTACTTCGTACAAGGAAGTTAAAAGACAAATTCAAACAAAATTTTTTACAAAAAAGTTTTGAAATGCCAGCTGCCAACATATAACAATATGGTTTAGAATGATGTTGGCTGGTTAAAAGTAAAACTTAATCCCTGTGGTGGTTAAAAAAATTACTCTCTGAACAACTCTATAAAGAACTTTGAACTGCAAAATAACAGACTTACCTGTTTAAAGCCATGGATAGTTAAGGTTAAAATAACACACCGAACAAATATTAATTTAGAAGTCAAACAACAAAAATCAGTATTATATTTACATGGGTAGTTACAAAAAAAAAAAAAAAATTTCTGCTTTGGTATCACAATTTAGAAATAAGAAACTCATTATTTTACACCATATTTTTATTGCAAATGCATTCACCATGTGCTAAAACCATTAAAATAGTCACAAATGCACTAAAAATGTACATATTTCTTTATACTAAATGTACCTTTACAAATTAAGATGATGTAACACTCAAAGTATTGCCAATAAGCATTCTTCTGTGTCGAGTTCTTTTATGACGATTAAGAGAATTTCTATGTCTAAATACTTTCAGACAGGATTCACACTGATGAGGGCGTTCTCCTGTGTGTATAAGCATATGAACACTTAAATTGCCCTTCATAGAGAACATTTTCCCACATACCATACATACATATTTTTCATCCATCATATATGTCTGCATTCTAGTTCCAGTATATGTATTGTAATAAACTGGTGGTTCACAGTCATTTTCCATGTTCCTAGAGAAATCTGTAAAATAAAATGATTTTCAGATATATTTTGAAATCTGCAAAATGTTTTTTTATAATTTTACAGCAACTGCCATACTAGCACAAATATAAGAATGTTTTGAAAATGCACTGAAATCCTGCCTGCCATTACATGCAATCCAGCATTAAATACATATATAAAGAAATTTATCTTGGCCCTAAATTTTTACATTGAAAGAAAATATATTTCCTTAGTTTTTACCTTCCTTTTAGGATAAATTTAGCATGTTAAGCTCAGATTTATATGACTCCTTGCACCTTTTCTTTTAAAACACCTTACAAAATGCAAGGTTTTCATACGTGAAGACATTTATATTCAAGCTAGTACAGACTTGTAAAACTTACAATACAATGTCAAAATATTCATATTTTTGTCATATAAATGTACTTTTAATAAAATATGAGACTGAAAAAGAAAATACTAACTTAAAATATACATAAATATATTGTCTAATTAAAAACTTTGTCATAGCACGATTATGAATGATAATTAAATATATATACACATAATACAGGCATTCAAATGAAATAGAATTATACTTTTTTATTATGCAATAACAAATAATATAACGTATATGAAAAAATGAAAAATATTTTTTTAATTATTATATTTTAGCAGAAAGATAAAAAAATGGAAATAAATTATATAACATTTACTAACCAATAACATGAGTGTATATGAATACATTGTATCTATTAAAACCATAACAATAATGCAGAAAAGTAATACATCTAAAAGAACATTTATCTATTCTTTCTTTGCTATTGAGAATACTTTTCAAATTCAGAATAAATACTGAACTTTTATATATCTACAGAATATGGTAAATACACTGGTGGACAAAATTAAGAGAGAGATGGCAGTGAAAATGTGCCTAGTATGGTGCGTGGCTGCTTCTGACAGACAGATAGCATGTACAAGGAGTAGCCATGCTGCTAACAATAGAATTCAGGAGAGCTCATGGAAGTTGCAACCACTCCTTCACCGCAGCAGTTTTTAACTCCTGAATGGTTCTGGGTGGGGGTTGGCATATTACAATAGCCCTCCCAAGAGCATTCCAAGCACTTTCACTAGGATTATGGTCAGATTAGGCTGGCCAATCCATTCGGTGAATATCCTCGCTTTCTAGATAGTTATCAACCAGGTGGGCCCTATGTGGTCGCGCCTTGTTATCCATAAAAATGAATTTAGGGCCAACAGCACCCAAGAAAAGTTGCACATAGGGCTCTAAGATCTCATGTCTGTATCTCTTGCCATTCACAGGACTTGTATTAAAAACATGGAGCAGTGTTACAGGTATCTTGCATGATCCCTGCCCCAACAATCACTCCTCCACTACCATATCGGTCCCTTTCCATGCTGTTGCTGGGCTGGTATCAGGTCCCAGGTTCCTTCCATATCAATAACTGTCAAGAATCAGGTTGTAGACTTAATCTACACTCATCTGTGAAGAGAACATTGAAGCTTTCTCCACATTGGTGTTGTATGCAACTTTGTAAATGCTCTCTATTGTAGGAGAGAATGATTGCGATGTAAATAGTGGGCTTTCTTGCATACAGTCCTTCTTCGGAGCCTTCTGGCAAATGTGTTCCTTAGAAAAGTTATTCCTGTGGCAGTAGCAAGGTCACACTACAATTATGTAGCTGCAGATGTCCTCTGGCGCTTGGCTGAAAGTACCAAATACTGGTCGTCACTGGTTGTTGTGGCTCTCAGGCAATCTTGTCCTGGTCTTCTGAATACTCTCCCAGTGTGTTTAAACTGATTCCACAAATCAGAGATGACACTTGGTATTACATGCAGTTCTCTTGCATCCTGAGATTGGGACTGCCCTGCCTCAAGCCTATCCACGATTCTCCATCTCATACCTTTGTCTATTGTTATTGCAGAGTGGAATGAGCTGGGTGTGGATTTTAAACCTCCTGCTGGTGTAGGGATACCCACATTAATACATAAACTCATCTCAGTGACACCAGCACCACAGTAACATTATACAGCAACCAACTGTCTAGATTTTATGTGGTATTTTACGAGAAATGTGGGAAAATGATTTTCCATCTCTTAATTTTGTCCACCAATGTACATGCACTTAGAAAACATGAAACACTCATACTTCAAATTATTTAAAAAACCTATTAGATCATTAATATTTTAACTATATTTCTTCATTAAATTCTGTAAACTACAATTTTTCTCAAATATATTATATATTTCCAGACGCATATGATTTTTTATCTCTCCTTCAAAGCAGGACTTCTCCAGCTAAGGGTTATGATGCTTTTACAGATCATGTAAATGTTACTCGAAGCATGTTTGAATAATGAACTGAGTTTTTATGTATACAAATTCAATTATGTATTACTTAACATAGATCTTGTAAAATGCTACTCGCTAAATTTTTCTTGAATATATTTCTTTAGATTTTTAAAAGCAATCTATTACAAAACTGTAAACTGACAAAAAATTACAAATATTACACAGCAATTTATGATAAAATATCTCAAGTGTAAAGAATCATAAAAAATTGTATCTGATAAAAGCAAGTCATAAGTAAAAGAAGTGAAAAGTCCTGTTTAGAAGAACTGTCGACAGAAAATCCAAAATTTTATTATGATTTATTAAACATGAAAAACTGCATAATGTAAGTCATTCCATTTTCTATACAATTACTTCATATCCATAAAATATTATAAAATGAATGCATCTAAAAAATCTAGATAAACTAAATAATTTATTAATATTTAAAAATATTACAATTTACTAAATTGTATGTAAATGCAACAAAACAAAAATAAAATCACTAAGTGAATACTTAAAATGCAAGATATACATTTAGTCTTAAATTTCAACAAACATAACTATATTTATTCTGTTAGTTAACTACAAATATTTGTTAAGTTCATTTTTTATTATTAGGACTACACAGCTAGTTTATATGATAAATATTCACAAATTCATAATTTCAGCAGTTAAAAGTTGAAAAATAAGGCAGCAGTATTCTTCATAATTTGTTAATATGCAAATTTCATTCAAATTTATTATGTATTTTTACCAATATTGCTTATTTTGAGAATTTCCAACTAAATAATGATACTTTAAATATAAATGCACATAATAAGTAATACTAATATAAACAAAATATTTAGACATGGAATAAATATAGGTTGAAAACACAGAATGATTTGATAATAATGTTTACAATATCAATGGATATCGATGAATAAGAAATTTTTCATGCAAATAATTTTTATGTAGAACAATTAAACGCAAACGAAAAAAGTATTATACAATAAATAAAATTTAAAACAAAAGTCTGAACATTATGGCATTCATGTTTCATGTTTGTCAACATACATTAAAAATCTAATATTTAAATTCTTACATAACCTAAGTAAGGTCATATACCATATTTTTTTAACATTATTATTTACTAAATAGGTTCTGGAAGAAATTTAATTTTTCAGTTTCAGAATGATGAACAGTATGTTACTTTCATATCCTGTAAAGAGAAGTCAAATTTAATACCACAAACAGATTGGGATACATTTTTAAGCAAAAGATATTTATCATATTATTTGCTGCTTTACACAGTAATTTTTAACATAAATTGCTATCTTATATATGCATATTCATATTGCTAGATCTGTTTCTTCATCTAACAACACATTTAACAAGATCCACATGACTTAGTAAGTTAAACACTAGAGATAGAAACATTTAGTTTGTATCAGACATGAATATGGACAATAAAATAATTAACATGAATCTTATACAATATGAAAAATAAAATAGTTAACATGGATCCTGCATGATATGAACAATAAAACAATTATACTATTATGAGCAAATATTGGTTTAAAGTTATGCTTGAAAATGTATACGTGTCCAGGAGGCAGGGAGCACTGCTGGTACAATATTCAAGAAGTTTGATGTAATTTTATGGGGAAAAACATTTGTGCTATTTCTCACCAAAAGATGATAAAAGATATATATATAACACAAAAAATATGTAGATCAAAATATTAACTTTAATTTTTAATAGTAACTTAACAACTTAACTCTCCATTTTAATTTGGCTATTCCCTCTTTCTGTTTTAAAAATAGTAATTGCTCTAAGCTACATCACAAATCACTCTAAACTGCATCATTTCAAAATTAATCCATGTCATATGATTCTTATACAATACTCATGATGCAAATACTTACACAAAGCTTCAAGCCAAACACTATTTCAAATTCAGAAATCAAAATTTAATATTAACCAATGTGGACAAATCTGAACTAAATCATTTTGAATGAAGCTTTCATCTTGAATATGTCAAATTCTCTCCCTCACTTTGTCAACTAGTTAATGCCTGCATTTCTGACTGTCTTTATTATATATCAAAAATCTATAAGATTACAATGTAGTTCTTCAAGGTCAGACACACTTATTATACCAGTTTATTACAATGTTAAGAGTAAAAATGTTTGTCATTGAAAATACAGAAATATTAGACTGACCATGATAGTAAGCTTTGCTGTTTACATATAGAGCTTTTAATTAAATGATTTACAATATTATCTGCTAGGAAAAAGTAGATTACAATTTATTGTAATTATAAAACTTAATAAAGAGGAAATATCTGGAAAATGAAGAGTTTTAACTATTGCATTTATAAAACTTAGTAATAGCTGTCACTTAATTCGGGAGAAAAAAAATCGTTTAAAAAATATAAAAATTATATAAAAAGTAGTAAAAACTAATTTAATTATTGTTCATTTCATAGAAAAAGGCCGACTTTTCAAGGGAATTAACCCTTTTCAATAGAATAACCAACAACTGTTGAGATTAGATCATGTTTCCCCCTTCTCATGTATTTGAATGAAATTCAATACATTCCAAATAAATATTTCAATTTAATAAATTCAATTTATTTTCAAATATAAGAAAGAAATTCCCTTACGGTCAACTAACCCTTCTCGATAGAATCACCAACTGC